GTGGTTAGGAGTGTAGGACTTCTCGCCACCTTTTATTGGATATAAGTTTCATCAGAAACGAACCTCGAATGAGGGGGTTATGATAGTTTGAAGTATTTGGCAGTTTTGGTCCCTGGATGGAAAAGCTTACATTTCAGCACATGCATGCAAGATGGCAACGCGTGAGTACGCCCAACGTAGTGTTGGATAAATGGGACACAGGATAGGAGACGTATGTTGGATCTTCAAACCCTAATTTTCAAGGGATGGCTCACTATTTAAGCACCTTAAGTCCAAGTGAGTGCGCCTCTCTTTCATTCTTAGAGCCTTAAACCCTAATTTTGAGTGGTAGCTTCATCTACGAGTGTTGTGAGCTTTGTGGGTGCACTTTGGTGGTTTTGGTGCATTTCAAGAAATGGAAGCTCATTACAAGGTGGGGGTTCAAGGGAGGACTTGTGGATCTGGACTTCTTGCTACATTTTCAGCTCAAAGAAGGTAAAAAGTTATGAGCTTGATCACTAGAAGTTTTTGTTTATGAATATGTGGGTCTTTGGTCCCTTTTTGGTCTCATGAAAAAGATCTAGTGGGTAGACACCACTTCAAGAGATTTGAGTTGCTACTCTTAGCATTTCAGAGGTTATAAGCCCATAAAGTTGCAATCTTTGAGGATAGAAACCATTCATGCATGTTATAGATGAGTATTAGTGGGTTAAGTTGGTCATTAAGACCCTTTGAACCATGCAAATGCATAAAGGTGCCAACTTTATGCATTAAGAGCTTCATCTGACGGTTCTCTGAAGTTTAGATGCAAAGCTCTTAACTGATTAAGTTACAAAAGTAGTTTGAAAGTTATGCGAGTACACCCCGTGTAAGTCGATATACACCCCACGTACAGAGTCAACCATTCCGCAGATGGTCAGTGCGAGGCAAGGGTACGCCCAACTACCAAAGGGGTACGCCCAATTACCAAAGGGGTACGCCCAACGTACCAAAGGGGTATGCCCTGCCTACTCCTCTATTTGGGATTTCAGACTTTTGTCTTCGCGGTTGGGCCATCTGTTTGGGCCTAGAATCTTGGACCCTAATGGACCATCTGGTTGGTTGTGTTTTGGGCTAATTGAAAGATTGGATCATAGGATAAGGCCTAATAATGGGTTTGGGCCCAATTTGGAAAATTGAACCATTAATGGGCTTGTAAGTACATGGATTTCATAACGCTAGCTATGGACATGTATAATGATTCAGAAAAAGTAAATGGGCTAGTATGTTATGTTATTATTTAATAGTGGCAGGAGGAGTAGGTTAGACCTCGTAGCCGATTGAGATAAACCGGATGGTAGGTCGGGCACCCAGATGTGCATGACAATATGTTATGTTATGTTATTATGTGGTAGAGGTAGGGGTGAAATAGTCCCCAGTTACCGATCGAAATGACTGAAAGGGTAGGCTAGCACCCATATATGCTAGGTAGTATTTGATTTATGTGTATATACTAGGGTATTACGTGGTAGTTGTAGGGGTGAAATAGTCCCCGGTTACCGGTTGAAAGAAACCGAAGGGGTAAGCCGGCACCCATATATGCTAGGCGGTTACCAGTTAAAAGAGACCAAAGGGGTAGACCAGTACCTAGATATGCTAGGCGATTACTGTTTGAAAGAGACCAAAGGGGTAGGCCAGCACCCAGATATGTTAGTTGGTTACCGGTTGAAAGAGACCGAAGGGGTAGGTCAGGCACCTAGATATGCCTGGCAGTATAATATTTGTATGGTATGTGGTATGATGGGGGAACTCACTAAGCTTCGTGCTTACGGTTTACAATTTTGGTTTTGGGTACTTCATTTTCAAAGGAAAGGATTCGGCTCGATCGTAGTGCATCACACTATGTTTTCCGCATATAAGAGCTTTGGTATTACACTCTGATATTGTTTTATGATACAAACCTTTTGATTATTGACATTTTGGTTTGACATGATATGTTATTAGGAATGTTTTTATACCATTGGTTTTATAATAACTTAATTAAAAATGAAATTTTTGGTTTGTACTTTTGGGATGTTACAAGTTGGTATCAGAGCCCTGGTTTGAGGGATTTGGACACATTCTCGGGTGTATCTGGACTCAAATCTAGGGTTTGAAATATTTTTACAAGCAATAATTTTCTAAAAATTAAAATAAAGAGTTTTGATAAAGAACAAGGTGTGTGATGCGTGCAATCAGTCGAGCTCAAGTAAGTTTTCCCCAAGATACACATACATGTTATGTTATGTTATGTTATGTTATGTTATGTTATGTTATGTTATGTTATGTTATGTTATGTTATGTTATGTTATGTTATGTTATGTTATGTTATGTTATGTTATGTTATGTTGTGTTATGTTATGAATTGAGAATATATGAACTGCATGCTAGATTAGGGCTAAGGATCTAGAAAGGATGTCATATATGCCTATTGTATGTGCTTGTAGACCTGCATGCTAATACTGACCAGTTAGTGATAAGATGGCCTATTTAGGTTATGCCTGATTGTATGAACTTTAGCATTGTATGCTATTATAGATTCCTGATAAGAGGATATAATGGCTTGATTGGAGTTTGTCGGTTAGTTTTACCATTATCCAAATGATGCTTGCTTTGTGATTTGTAGGGCTCTTAGTAATGTGAGTTTGCTACTAAGTGAATATGCTAAGTCATATGTGGCACATATTGGATAATCTCAGAGTGATAGTCTGGTATGCCACTAAGTGAATATGCTAAGTTGAGATGATTGTATTTGGGATGATTATCTGGTATGCCACTATCTGTTATGATTTATGTTCTAGTATGTTATGTTATTATTTGATAGTGATAGGAGGGGTAGGTTAGACCCCATAGTCAGTTGAGATAAACTGGATGGTAGGTCGGGCACCCAGATATGCCTAACAGTATGCTATGCTATGTTATTATATGGTAGAGGTCGGGGTGAAATAGTCCCCGGTTACCGGTCGAAAGGACCAAAGGGGTAGGCCAGCACCTAGATATACTAGGTAGTATGTGATTTATGTGTATATGCTAGGGTATTACATGGTAGTGGTAGGGGTGAAATAGTCATCGGTTATCGGTTGAAAGAATCCAAAGGGGTAGGCCAACACCCAGATATGCTAGGTGGTTACCAGTTGAAAGAGATTGAAAGGGTAGGCCAACACCCAAATATGCTAGGCGATTACCAGTTGAAAGAGATCGAAGGGGTAGGCCAGCACCCAGATATGCTAGGCAGTTACCGGTTGAAAGAGACCGAAAGGGTAAGTCAGACACCCAGATATGCCTGGCAGTATGATATTTGTATGGTATGTAGTATGATGGGGGAACTCACTAAGCTTCATGCTTACAATTTACAATTTTGGTTTCAAGTACTTTGTTTTCAAAGGAAAAGAGTTGGCTCAATCGCAGCGCATCACACTATATTTTCCGCATATGAGATCTTTGGGGTTACACTCTGATATTGTTTTAAGATAACATGTTTTGATTATTGACATTTTGGTTTTGAAATGAGATGTTATTATGAATGTTTTTATACCGTTGTTTTTAAAATAACTTAATTAAAAATGAAATTTTTGGTCTGTATTTTTGGGATGTTACACATTTACTTTAACTATACCCCTTGGAATAAAAATCACTTTTACATAGTGTCGTGCTAACCCTCATACTCCTAGTTTTTAGAAAATGTGAAGGGTGAATTTGAATAGATGTATGATATTGTCTTGTGTTTGCATATTTGAGCCTCATTAGTTTGTATTTGCATGTCCCTTGCCAATGTCTTATAGGTAGAGCTATGCTCTACGAGCTTGCCATCGGCGAGCTCACTGGAGCGATTATCTAAAAAGACTACACAATCAAATTTAATAGTTAATATGTTTTCTTGAAATTATAAATCGATTTGTATTTTCTATTGCAATCATCCTCAAGATGATTCACGAGTAGTAGTAGTAGCAATGCACTATTCTTCTCCTTTTTTTTTGAAACGTCGAGTGATCTCGACTGCAACGCGTATTCTGAAAATGTATTATGTTGAGTGGAACTTGCGACATGTAGCATTAAATTGTTGATTTTTGTCTTGTTAAATTGGGTCATTCTATGTTGTTGAAGACAACCCATTATTATGGAAAAACTAACTTCGAAGAGACCAAATTAAAATGTTGCAGCCCACTTTTTATAGAAGGAGCCCGATAAGAGAAAACGGTAGCCCACTTGAGAGTTTTGGGCCCATGTATGGATAATCAACCATTTTTTAAACCCATATCATACAACGGAATAAGTATTTTCACCAATTTATTTATTTGGTAACTTGATGCGTTCCTTTTACTATTGCTTTTCCCCATCTTTCTTTTTCTTTCTACTCTTTTTTTGTTAAAATGAAACGAACACAAATGTTTACATGTTGGGCCACCACTTTAAAATGAAACGAACACAAATGTTTACATGTTTACATGTGCTTCACGGAATTAGTAGGGAAGGCAGCTATTGATCCAGCACATCACAGAGACTCTCCCTACTTTTTTTTCTACGAATTGAGGATATAAAAGGTTGATAAACATAGGGCTTATCATCTTTTTTTTTTTTTTTTTTTTTTTTTTGTTATGCGTATGTGTGAACAAATTGAGCACCAAGGATGTCATCTGTGGGGCCCATTTTTTATATCAATTATATATACCATCAATTCTTAAAAAGTTTAGCTGCAGTACACTTTTTTCTCTTTCATCGATTCACACGGAACTTTTTTTTTTCTTATTTTGAACACTAAACTTCTTGTATTCGCTCCTTCTTATCTCATTTTCTTGCCGCCTCACATTCCACCAATGAGATTTATCACGTTTTTTTATGTTTTTGATCTTATTTTTTTGCTTCCTTCTGCTTTTTGTTTTCTCGCTGCGGTCGTCCTTTCCTTACAAGAGTTATTTTCCTTTGTTTTTGCTTGCTGCTTTCGTTTTCTCCCTTACAAGCTTCGTTTTTTAGGTATGTTTTGGTGATCCTCCCTCTATAATATCATGTCTGTAGGTTCGTCTTCTAAACGCCGTTTTTCTCCTCATTTAGCTGGCCTTCTGTCTTCCGAAAAAGGATCCTGTTCTTCTGTTGGTAACGATACTTTACTTTTGCCTTCTTACGATGATATCGGCGATTGCACCTTTGTTTGTAGATTTTGTAGTGCTTTTTTCTGGTTTGATGAAAGGGTTATGTATTTGTCACGTCCAGATTGCCCTGCCTATACGCGGTGTTGTAAATCTGGTTCTGTTGTTTTACCATATCCACTTCTACCTCCTAAATTGTTGCTTGCTCTATTTGATTTTCGCCCTTTCATCAAAAACATAAGGGCTTATAATAGTATGTTTAGCATGACGTCTTTTGGAGGTAAGGTGGATGACACTGTTAATAGGGCGGATGGTCCATATGTATTCAAAGTTTCTGGTCAGGTTTGTCATTGGATTGGTGCTTTTGATGTTGTTGATGAAAAAGGACCAAAGTTTTTGCAATTGTATATTGTTGATACAGACCATGAATTGCATAATAGGCTCTCTGCTTTTCCAAAAAATGAAAATGGCTGTTTAGATTCAACAATAGTTGAGGCTCTTATGGATCTTTTTACAGCTCATAATGAATATGTTAGAACTTTTAAATGTGCAAAAGATATTGCTGCTGAAAGAAACTTACCTGAATATGCAGTTCGTCTTTTTAATGATGTTCCTAATCGTCTGTATGGCCCTCCGGCCCCTGGTAGTTTGGGTTGTATTGTCGTTGGTGAAGACGCAGTTGGCAGTACATATGATATAGTTGTGCATTCAAAAAGTGGTCCTCCACGTAGGATTAGTAAACTTCATCCTAGCTACATGCCATTGCAGTATCCTGTTTTGTTTCCCTATGGTAAGGATGGTTGGTCCCCAAGGTTGAAGCTTTTAAATGAGGTTGGTTCGAAGGCTAGGAATCTTAGTATCAACATGTATTATTCTTACCAAATACATGCAAGGAATGGTATATATTCTGTTGTGCTAAATTCATGTAGATTATTCCAGCAATATTTAGTTGACGCATATGCATGTATTGAACTTTCGCGGCTTGATTTTTATGAACAAAATCAAAATCACCTAAGATCAGCATATGTTAGTGGTATTTACGATGCCATATCACGTGGTGATACTGATGGTAGAAGTATTGGTAAGCGTGTTATTTTACCACCATCTTTCGTCGGTGGTCCAAGGTATATGTACAGATTATCAGGATGCCCTTTCTATTTGTCGGGAATATGGGAATCCACAGTATTTTATAACATTTACGTGTAATGTTGGTTGGCCAGAAATCAGCAGGTACATGGACATGCATCGCCAGTTTGATGTTCCGAGCAGGGCAGACATAATCTCACGTGTTTTCCATATGAAAGTTATTGCCTTTATTAGTTATTTGAAATCTGACAAGACGTTCGGTCCTGTTTCAGCACGTAAGTTTTTTTTTTTTTTTCTGTGATAATATTTTTTAAAAAAATATGTTCCCTGTATTTTCGTTTATTCATTACTATGTTTAGATTGTTATATTGTATTTACTAATTAATTTTTTTTAAATATTTTTTGTATTTTTAACAATGTTCTTTTAAAAAATATATTCGCTGTAAGTTTTTTTTATTTTTTTTTCTGTGACAATATTTTTTTAAAAAATATGTTCCCTGTATTTTCATTTATTCATTACTGTGTTTAGATTGTTATATTGTATTTACCAATTAATTTTTTTAAATATTTTTTGTATTTTTAACAATGTTCTTTTAAAAAATATATTCGCTGTAAGTTTTTTTTTTTTTTTTTTTTTTTTTTTTGACAATATTTTAAAAAAAATATGTTCCCTATATTTTCGATTATTCATTACTGTGTTTAGATTGTTATATTGTATTTACTGATTAATTTTTTTTTAAATATTTTTTGTATTTTTAACAATGTTCTTTTAAAAAATATATTCGCTATAATTTCGTATGTTCATTAGTGAATTTAGATTATTATATTTTATTTACTAATTAGTTTTCCTTTTTTGAAAATTTTATTGTGTTTACTATTTAGTTTTCCTTTTTTAACGGTTCTTTCTTTGGCAGATCTATATACTATTGAATTCCAGAAAAGGGGTTTACCGCATTGTCATGTGCTCATATGGATAGCAGATTCCCACAAGATAAAGGAACCATCTGCCATTGATGCTTACATTACAACTGAATTACCTGACCCTATTTTGGAGCCATTATTATATCAGACAGTTATAAGATGCCTTGTACATGGACCGTGTGGTTTGCTAAATACTAAGTCCTCATGTATGAAGGATGGTAAGTGTAAGAAAAGATTCCCAAAAAATTTCCGTAACGATACAGTTTTTGACAAGGATGGTTATGCACATTATAAAAGGCGATCTGGTGAGGTCCATAGGTTAGAAACAGGTGTAGAAATAGACAACAGGTTCATTGTCCGTATAACAAAAGACTGTGTTGTCGTTTCAATGCACATATAAATGTCGAGTATTGTGGGTGGAACATGATGATTAAGTATCTGTTCAAATATGTATCGAAGGGAATGGAGCGTGTTAGGTTTGTTATTCAGAGAGATGTGCACACTTCTGGATCTTCTGTTTCAGTAGAACCTCCTGTCATTGATGAGATTAAGAACTATATCGATGGTCGTTTCCTCTGCCCTCATGAAGCCGCGTGGCGTATACTTGATTTTCCGATTCATGACCGAGATCCGTCAATTGTCATACTGCCTATACATTTGCCAAATATGCAATCTGTGTTGTTTAAAGAAAACATTAGTATTAACCAGGTTGTTGACGATCCCAACTTTGGAAGCAGTTTGTTGTTAGGTTGGTTTGATAACAATAAGTGGGATAGAACTGGTCATAATCTTACATATAGCTCATATCCTACTAAGTACTGGTGGGACAAACAGGCAAAAGCTTGGAAGAGAAGGAAACGTTGTAATTCTCATGCATTAGGTAGACTTATCTTTGTTCATCCATCTGCTGGAGAATTATTTTACTTAAGAATGTTGCTTTGTCATCAAAAAGATTGTAGGTCTTATGAAGAAGTTCGTACTGTCTCTGGCACTGTGTACTCTGATTTTCGAGCTACCTGTGATTCGTTAGGTCTAATAGGGGAAGATCGAGAGTGGATGGACGCTTTTACTGAGGCTTCTGAATGGGCTACATCGTCTCAGCTTCGTTCTTTATTTTGTTATCTGCTCCTTTTATGTGATGTTAACGATCCTATGTGTTTGTGGCATTTTGGATGGAAGAAAATGAGTGATGATTTGGTACACAATATAAAGATGTCAAATCCTGGTGTTGATGTAATTATAGATGATTTGCACGTACAGCAGATGGTTTTATATGAACTGGATCATGTGCTTAGGTCATCTACACCTTCAAAATCTGTTGTTGATTTTCATTTGCCCAAACCTACAGAGGAGACTGTTGCTATGTTAAGAAATAGACTTTTTTTAGAAGAGACAACGTACGATAAGGACATTTTGAAAGCTACTCACCAACAGATGTTGTCGTCTCTAAATGATGAGCAGCTGAACATCTACAATGTTGTTCAATCTGCAGAAGCTAAAAGCCAACAGATGCTGCTTTTCGTTTATGGCCATGGAGGGACTGGTAAAACTTTCCTGTGGACAACAATACTAGCTTATTTCCGTTCAAGAGGAAAAATAGCTCTTGCTGTTGCTGCTTCTGGTATAGCATCTCTGCTTCTTCCATCAGGAAGAACTGCTCATTCCAGGTTCAAAATCCCAATTGACTTTACTGATAATGTCGCATGCAATATTACAAAAAAGACAATGCTTGCTGAGTTGTTGAAGGTAACTTCCATCATTATATGGGATGAGGCTCCCATGAGTGACAAACATTGTTTTGAGTGTTTGGACCATTCTTTGAGAGATATCCTTGAATGTGAAAGTAAAGTCTTTGGTGGTATGTCGATGTTATTAGGAGGAGACTTTCGTCAGACATTACCTGTGTCGCCAAAGACCACACCCTCTGAAATTATCTCCCTTACGCTGCCAAACTCGTACTTATGGCCATATTTCAGTTTGTATAAATTGACAGATAATATGCGGCTTAAAAACCTGTCCACCTCATCTGATAGTCATTTAGGTATCTCAAAGTTTGCATCCTGGTTACTTCAAATTGGGGATGGACTCATTGGTGAAATTGATGCATGCGATAAGACAAATACCAAATGGGTTGAGATTCCTATGTCACTGATCATACCTCCAACAAAAAACGCATTACACAGCCTTATAGACTTTGTTTATGGAGATGATATTCTGAAAAAATCCTCTGCTTCGACTCTGTCTGCTAGAGCAATAGTTTGTCCAAAAAATGAAACAATCCAAAAAATAAATGATATAGTTTTGCAGAGAAGTCCTGGTGATTCAAAGATGTATGAAAGTGCTGACAGTATTGAGTTCAATGGGAACCAAAGTACAGAGTTTAATACTTTCTATCCATTAGAGTATTTGAATGCCTTGACCTTCCCTTCCATACCTGTGCATTCACTGTTATTGAAAATCAACACTCCTGTTATGCTGATTCGGAACATAAACCAAAAAGAAGGTTTATGAAACGGCACACAACTGATGGTTTCACAGTTATTGTCCACCGTTATTGAGGCAACAATTATTACTGGGACTTCCATTGGGAGCAAAGTTTTAATCCCCAGAATTAGATTTATTCATAAAGCCCCTGATATACCTTTTACCTTTGTTAGGAAACAGTTTCCATTAAAAGTCTGTTATGCTATGACTATCAACAAAAGCCAGGGGCAATCTTTAAAAAAAATTGGAATTTATCTGCCTCACCCGGTATTCACACATGGACAACTTTATGTCGCATTGTCTCGTGCTACCTCTCCAGATTCTGTGAAAATACTTATAGATTCTGATGAAAACACTGCAAATAATAAAACGAAAAATGTTGTTTTCAGAGACTTCCTACACAAAGTTAATACTTCAGAGGTCAAATACATATTTAGCTTTTATAATTATATACAACAGCCTAATACATGTTTCTTACTTTTAATATTTATTGTTACATTCACAAATCATACTTATATTCATTGTTAACTATGACACCACACATCAACCTGATGCATGTATGTTAGCTTTTTTTACATGACTGCTCATAAAACATAATATTTACTGCTGCATTCAGAAATGATGTTTATATTATTTGTTGACTACCATTCCAGACATGTCTCAAATAACAACAACAATCTCAGAATTGCATTATGGGTGTCCGAGAACAGTGATACAGGTATATAAATAAATCTTTTTTCATGACAACTTTATATTACCAACATACATTCTTCAAAGACAATAAAATTATAACAATTTTTTTCACTTTAGGTAGAATCTTGCGTATGTGGACACCACAGATTAGAAATCATGAGACATGGTTCTTGGCTGTTGACAAAAATGTAAGTTATCAACTTCCATCCCAACCTCTTCTTCTAATCTATACACACATTAACCCTATATACAATCTCCACTATGTACAAGGGTGATGTTGTTCAGATTCTGGACAAAGAAAAGATCAAAGCTTTCTACAATCCGTTCTCATTCCTTCTAGATGCTACACAATTGAGAAGTACGGATGTGGAGTACCGGATCGTTATCAAAAGTGGATCAATAATGAATTCTACATGGCTGTTGGGACAGTATCCTCTATTACACCTCTTCCAGACACTGCCATTATTCCAAAACATTGGTTTTCTTTTGTTTCCAAAACACAGATACCAGATTACAAAGATCAACATGCAGGTGTTACTATTCATACAAATAAAACAAGTAACATACAAAAAACCTTACATCACTAATAACAATTAAATAACTTTACCTGCAGATTTTGTTGGCTTCTTCAGCAAGCTTATCAACTGCACGAAAAAAGATAGTGAACCATACCTGTTGTTGATACTAAAAAATGATTCGTAAGTACTTTTTCAGTTGTATTACCGTAATATGTTATTAACATGTGTCAAACCTATGAACATCAGCGGTGAAGACATTGCAATAAGTTTATGGAAGGAATTCACCAGTGTGTCTTCAAAGTTTGATCGTGTTGTTCTCGAAAATGCTCCTGCACCTGTCATAGTCGCCATAACCAGCATAAAGATCTCTACTTACGCAGGTAACTACGTATAAAATGTTGTTACATTAATAATTTTAAAAATACAATTATTTGCTTGTGTATTATGTTGAATACTAAATATACAGGAGCACTACGACTTGGAACAAGTAGTGCTACTCATCTATACATCAACCCACCAATTCCAGAAATGAAACTACTAATGGACAGGTATCATAAAGAATGCACATTGATAAAATACATTACATTCTAAAATACTTTTAATTCACGGATTGCAGTTACAATACATTACCTGAGGTACCTGTTTTTTTAGATCCTCCAATACAATTGTCGAAAATACTCGACAAAAGTCATTCTGATCTTTCGGTATGTTACACCTACATGTATGTATGTGTCCACACAAGAAAAAAATATCATGTTTATACTTTTAAGCAGATTATATACGTCTGTACGTTATATAGGACAGAACTCTTACGACAAAGGCTTGCATAATTGAATATATCTTCTCAGACTCTTGGTACCATGTTCAATGTCCGAAATGCAAAAATACAACTTTCAAACAAGGGAAAAACTGGTTTTGTCCATCAGATGGAATACTTGAGTCTCCATGTAGCACGTAAGCATCAGACAATGAAAAAATCAATTAATTAATAAAAGAAAAATATAGAAGCTTGGCAATAACTCATTTCTACCCACATGCAGGTTTAAATTGAATGCAGTTATTAAAGATGAAAGTCATTCCATGACTGTTGTGCTGTCTGATAATGCAACACAGGAATTACTAGGCACAACAGCAGATAACCTCAGATCAGACAACAACACAGATGACAGAAAGGAAGTACCACCAATTGCTATCTCTTTACTAGGAACTCCAAGAAAAATGAAAATTCGCATGACAAATACATCAAAGGACAACAACATTCGATTCATTGTTACAAATATCGAAAAAATGCCTTCTGAAGTACCACCTTCCATGACAACACCACCTCCTGATCGTCCAACTTCTTCAAAAAATACTAATGAAGAAAGTGCTCAGAACTACCAACAGAGTAAACAAAATGTTAGAAGATCACTTCCGTTTGAAAATCCAGGTAAATTTTCATTTCTAGTGTACATATATATAAGGGTAAATACATATTGCCAAAATGGTGAATATATTTAATTATAAATGAAAACACAGTTACTACAAAACGAAAAGCCGCCCGTAAAATGGAATAGACCTCACTTCTTCGGATGTTGATCATAAAAGAAATACTAATGGTATATAACATGTTGCAGCTATGTACAAAAAATGTTTAACTTTGGTTTTCTAGCTATTATAGTATCTGTAGTTGTACCCTTAACTCATAATGGAGTTTGTGTTGGCTTTACTATAATGTAATAACTAAGGCAGTATTTCGTATGACAGATAGTTATGTAAAATATGTTACACTTATGTAAAAAAAAAGTGTTTTGCTTTCAGCTTTTATACTACTCTCTGTAGTTAAACCCTTAACTGATGATGACGTTTGTATTCGCAGCCTACTATAATGTAATAATTAATGCAATATTTTGTATGATAAATAGTTATGTGAAATACGCAACGACAATGAGTTATGTACGTTTTTTCATAAACGACCCACAACTGAATGGTTTATTAACAATTTGTCACATAGTTATAAACGACCCACAAGTAAACAGTTTATTAAACGGCCCACAACGACAGTTGCTTATTAACATAACTGAATGGTTTATTGACACTTTCTCACATAATAAAAGTTAATACTTAATACCATGCAAAACGAAAAAAAAAATTACAACAAATTACTCCATTACAACAACTCATATTAATTACAACTAAGTTATTGTCAAAAACACCAAATAAAAGCCAAAACTATAAAAACAAATTTTATTAAGAAAATAATTAAATATTACCGCCCTTTGCAGATAGCGTACATCTGTAGGTCTAACATATCATAGGTTCAACAACTAAGTGATATGATGACACGCCACATGAGTCTCAAAATACCTTTATATAGATGTTTAATAACCATACCTATGAAAAGGGATAACTTACACATGGACATCTAAACAATACACTTCCACTATATAATGTACATAAACAAAAATACTTCCAGACAAAAACAATCCCTACAAATCTTTCACTCTCCATACAAAAAAAAATATGAAACCACACTTTTCAACAAAAGTCTCGCTGTTATGATCGATTTCCTTAGGGAAATCGGAAATCTGATTGAAGCTGCCCAAGGAAAGTTAGAAGAAAAGTTTTTGCCTCGATGAAAACATCCAGTCATACATGGCGAACAATACAGAAGATCCCGACGTACAGATACTACACAAAATATTTGAAAAAGCCAGAGCCGATGACCAATCCATGACTGACAACTTTTCGTTTACACTCGGAGACATCCACAAAAGAATTGGTAAATATAAGCGCAAAATGAAGGATACATCCACAGACTGACTTTTCGTCTGATATCCACTGCAAACCACTTGCACCTTCGTTGTATAATAGTTTTAATGTACGTAGTTAAATAGTTTTAATGTACATAGTTAAATAAAATACATGTTTTATGTAAAAAATTATATATAGCAA